CACCTCGACCAAGCTGCTCCCAACTTGTTGGATCCAGGACAGGGTGTAGCTAGTTTGGTCTTGGAGAGGCCGGTTTGGCCGTCATTAACGTCCTTGCGCCTTTGCCTTGCCATTGCCGTTTTCTTCCTCGCTGCCTCCACCCCGTTCCACTTTCGATGTGCCTCGCTGTTGGGTCCCTGTTGTCAGGGCTGGCCCTGGGGCTATGCAGCTGAGGCGATCGCCGGGGGCCCATGATGGTGGGGGGGCCAACACCTAATACTAGTAGTCTAGTACTTGCCTATGGCCTACCTGGAAGCAGAAACGCCCGAGAGATGGGAGGAGTTGTAGCGTTGGCAACTCGGCAGATGACATCGTATCGCATAGGGCACAACCGCACAGGCGCACATCGTCGTCGACTCGTTCTTGATGATTTTGCATCAAGAAATGCCCGAAGAAGTTCATTAGAAACAATGGATATGATGGGATTCTATTCTTCGTTAAGGTAATGAATATTAGTTCTTAGGTACAAATATATTGTTATTTTGGTCGACTTTATTTTTCTCGATAATTACCAGACATGTTAAATTTAATATATGGATGTATTTGTTTTCGTTTTGCAAGTAAAATTAGCGTCAATTGTATCATAAAATTTTATATATAGCTTAAAGGGCCCATCACGATGAGTTCGTCTCGGGCTCTCAAAATCAGAGGATCGCCCTGCCTGTGGTCGCCACCATGCATCATCCTCTTCTCCCCCGCTGAGATCCGGGCCCGCCACCATACGGCCGTCTACACCGTGCTTATGTGTACATGCTTGTCTTCATCTAATCTCTCGTACTTTTTTTTGTCATTATTTTCCAGTTGCTTAATTTCTTGTAAACTAGGTTTTCCATAGTTAGCTAGCCTGCCTGAATTTCGTCAACTGCATACTGGAATGATACATAGTAATTGTCCACTCTTAACTATAACTAGATTTCTAGCACATCCTGTGTTTGTGAAGTTGAACCATATGCATGCACCGATGAGGTATAATGCATTCTGAGTACACCACGTGTAATCTCGTGTGTCACATGCGGCATGCATGCTAATTAAATTAATTAATTCTGAGTGTATATAACAATTAACGCAATCCACGTTGCATTTCTCGCGAGTAATATTCTGCCACGTCCACGCGTATATATGTATATCAGTGGAGTACTTCACTGTCACAGTATGTAGCTAGGTCGTCTACGAGCAGTACGTCGATCGACTAGCAAGTCATACAAATTCTTTCCTCTGCAAAATTAGGAATGATGGTTGGTCAGCTTGTTGTTTGAAATAGTCTTTTCTTTATTAATTTCTGACTAAATTAATTTAGTTCTCCATAATCTAACTATACAGTCTATAACGTGCATAGGCGCTCATAAGAATATATGAACAGCCTATAAACACATGTTAGTTACTCCCTCTATTTCATATTTTAAGTCGTTTGATTTTTTTTAATTTTTTTAAGTTTAACCAAATTTGTAGAAAAATATACTAATATTTTCAATACAAAACAAACATATTATTGAAATATATTCAATGCTAAATTTAATTAAACTAATTAGTATTATAAATACTGCTAATTTTTTCTATTAATTTGGTCTAAAGAATTTTAATTAAGAAAAAAAGTCAAACGACTTATAATATAAAACGGATGGAGTACTTTGATAGTAGATCAAATAGTATTACTACCTCCATTTAAAAAAAGTACGATGTCCTAAAATAAAATACATGCTATCAATGCAAACCTCGAAATCTTACATCATTTAGAAAAAAAATCACGACTTAAAAAATGTCAAAGAATATTTTTTTATGAAAAAACCTTTTTATAATTATATATTTAATATTTTTATAGATTAATACTTTTATAAAAATAATAATAATATAACATGTATATTGAATACTGTCGATTTCTAAAACATCAACAGTAAAAAAGAAAAGAGGTATGCACAAGTACACGCGCGCGGGTGCATTTAGTAATAGTCAAATTGTGTACTGCCGGCACGATTTTAAGTCTTTTAAATGTGCAATAGGTATAATATGTTCTTTTCTTGAAAAAGAACATATGCACATACCGAGAATTCTCAGTTTGGTAAGTTTTCTTCACACGACGCTTGCATATGATTGTATCATTGCTTGTCTTTTCAATTTTCAGGTCATAAGTTATAACTGCGTGAACGGCATGTATTTTTTACATGACAAGAATCGCATGGATGCATGCATATACAATCAGGACGAATTCTATTAGATCAAAGTCTGCAAAAAGGAATATATATACAATCAAATTGACAAATCATACGCTTACACCATGCTTATATGTGTTTGTCTTCATCTAATATCTCATACGTTTGGTCATTATTTTCCAGTTGCTTAATTTCTTGGAAACTAATTAAGTTTTCCATAGTTAGGCTAGCCTGCCTGAATCTCGTCAGCTGCATGCTAGAATGATCTTGATTTTTACAAAACATGTACAAATCAAGACGGTGTGCCTTGCAAGTAAGAAGGATCACACATGGCATGATTATTATACCCATGTGTACCACTATGCTGAAAATATATTTATTATAAACCAGTTAATCATTTGACTAGCTTGCAATTATTTTGGAATTCAAATCGAAGTACACGTCACATCATATCTGTACATATATATATGTGCCTTGAAAAATATTGTTGCAAAAATCTTACCTTGTCTTAATTCCTTTCAGACTTACTGGCCATCAAACAAATATATCAGAGATCGATGTCGCGATCTTTAATTTCATACCTGTGACAACTATTCTTGGTTCAGATTGTGAAATACAACAAGACAGTGAAATCTGCAAGTACAGGAATAAAAAAAATTAAAGGGACACCGTACCAATGTTGATTGCAGAATTGCAATCACATCGAGATGACATACTAATTACTCCTATTACCACATGCCATATATCTCTCGAGCATTTAGTTGAAAGTGTTCTCCTCCTGTAACTACATTAATCCAGCTAGCTGGTTACCTTCATATGTTGAAAACTACTTTGCCAAAGGTATGTGCAGTGTGCATATATATTACATCCGTGACACTTATTTTCCTGTTAAAAATTTCTAGCTAGTCTTTTAGTAATTATTTTTCTTCCTACAAATTTTTTTTCTGAAGCATTTAATTTGCACCTTGCTCTCGGCTAAATCATAGCAATCTGCAAGCATTTCATGAGAACTGAATTTTTTTATTTGATTTTTTTTCTTGATCTGATAAGAATTGATCAGCCTTAAATTTATTTGATTGATCAAAAATGTTTTTATTTGATTTTTATTTCATGAGCAACTCCTGAAATCATATTTCTGAAACTTACTTTTTAGTTTGCTTGAACTTTTCTCTAGTCAAAGGTACGCGCGCAGTATCTGATAAGAATATAGTTAGTTCATCGTTCTGATTATACTTTCCATGAAACTCTCCAGAGAATTCCGGACTATTCTGAAAAATCAAGTACGCATGATGTGATACTGATCTATATTGTGGAATAATAATTTTAAAAAGGGATCTCTTGATAATTGAGAAAAAAAAGAGCTCCATCACACTGGCACATGGAATAAAAATCAGGTGTCGTAATCATGTCACGCCTGTATTTTGACTTGCTGCAACCGTCCCTGGTTCGGATTCAGAATCGAGACAGTGAAATCAGCTGTAGTTGAGGCGATTAGTCAAGTCACTCTATATGATTGCTATAAATTTAGTTATCATGCACAACATTCTGTTTGTCTCTTGAATTGTTCGACCTTTTTTTTGTGGACGCGACTCTCCGTCGGGTGCCCGATGAGAAGTTAAAATCGGGCGCTCTTAAATTATTTATTCAAATCATGATCCGATTGTACCATTAAATTCGTTACAATTAAACCTTCAAAACAAGACCACATATGGATATATTCCGACGAAAAATTTTTTTAGCTTATTATTGAATTATTTTTAAATGTTGCATGATGTTCCATCAGATATATCGGAATTGTTTCACTAAGTAGATCGAAAATGTTTCACTCGTTTAAATCGAGTGTTGTTTCACCTTATATAAAAACAATGTTTAAGCAAATAGCTCTGCGCAATAAGTAGATCGAGAGGTCGTTCCGCCCCTTGTCCCCGAAGATGGGTAATATGTTCTCATACAATGTTGCTCCAACTTTTTCCTAGAGGGCCTAGCTGGTGAGCGATCCCAGTCCGCGGCAGAGAACAGCCAGAAGCAACTAGTCGCCTCCTTTCCTCCGCCGAAAGATGCTTAGCCAGAAGCGACGAAGGAGGGGAGCTGGGGAAGGCTGACGATGGCAATGAGGGGGGAAGCTGTCGTAGAAGCTTTGCCGATTGGTTTGAGGAACGTCTTGAGATTCAGGCAATTGCAGATGATATAACTAGTAAATATGTTCCTCCTCATGTCAACATATTTTATTGTTTAGGGGGAATTATAATTACTTGTTTTCTAGTACAAGTTGCTACCGGTTTTGCTATGACTTTTGACTATCGCAACGGAAAGAAAATCCGCTGCACCTTCTCCACATCTCATTGGTTTCTATTCTGCAACATGAGATCAGCAACTAACTGAACTGGATCATCAGTCATTCTCCCTAACGGCTTCATTGTTCAGATGTTTCAGTTCACTGCAACATTAGATCTATACATAGTGAAACATTGTGAGTACACTATGTGAAACATTTTTGGTGGAACAAAAAATAAACCAAATTTTCTTAATAGAGAGTTTCCAAAATATGTGGGTTTTTTTGTTGCAATAGAGTTATCTGTGGATAAGCGGCAGGTGGATAGGGACACGTGGTGGGGCCTAATGGGGAGACACGTGCGCTGGGGAGCGACCGATCCAGGCGGCTGGCGCCGGTCGACCGAGCGTGGGCATTCTCCTTTTTTTTGTTCTGTAATTGCAACCGTAAGAACTACAAAAAGACATATAAGTCTTCAACTCTTCTGATTTTTCTCCAAAAAAAGGAGACCCCACATGCGCACAACTGTTTCTGATATGGAGTTCAAAGAACAATTGATATTACTTCGATATGGAGATCATTTTCGTGGGAGGTAGTATTGTTAAAACCAATTTCTAAATCAAAATACAATTGATATTACTTGGTACCATTTTTTTGGCACATTTATTTTTTAAAGGTTTACATCACATCCTCTAACTGTGTAGTCGGCTATCACTATTCACATATATTATCATACAATGAATGTAATTTTCTGTCAAGCTGTAGCCTAATCATGATATCTAAAATTCACTATATATGAAAAAGGACCATGTCAGGATCTACGCCTTTTGGGATGCTGACAATCTGCTGGTTGATATTTGGCAAGGACCGTGCAATTTTCCTTGCATTCTCCAAATAGGTTTCAAATCTCATATGGTTGGGCTCAGGCTTCTTGTCCAAATTCTTTGCAATTCTTGACTTAATATTTTCTGCATATTGCACACTAGTGGCAAGGGAGAGTTCCTCCCTCAAAACATGGTATTTGATTGCCTGCTCACGGAAAGTCCAGTTACCGGTGATCCAGTCAAATTTGTATAGCGGGAGAAAGCGGTGACCATATGCCGCTATGAACTCAATGGCGGAAAGGATGAATTTAAACTCCTCCTTTGAGAGATAGTAAGCAAAGCTCAGCCTAGTCCATCCAGGCTTCAGTCCACTGTACCCCTGAAATAATTTGACCGTAGACAGTAGCACTAGTTAGTACCTTGATATATACTAATAGGTTTAAATTTACTGTAGGCAATCTAATCATACCTCAAGAATAGCAGAACGGATGCGAACAGAGAGTTCGTTATTAACATCAAGCAAAATGTGTCCATAAGGGCCTGCACAAGCACACCCTCCCCTTGCTTGGATGCCAAAAAGATCGTTAAGAAGCTTTGTAACAAATCTCCCATGGAGGGGTAGTCTCTTGTTTGTCTTGTTTTCCAATGAATTATAGCAACCGGGCTCAACCCGAAGAAAAAGTGAATCTTCCACTGGAGGGTAGATGAGGAACGAGAAGATTGGAAGACGATCAACTGTTGTGTTGCCTAGGACCTTTATATTCAGATTATCAAGGAGCCTTTTCATTGCCATTTCAGAGTACACTCGCTCATGTAGTTCCATTGTTTCATATCCAATGTACTCCTTGACCCAAAATGCTAGGGATGCACGGATCTTTTGCACTATCGGTGGTGTGCCAGCATCCTCCCGCTCCTCGATATCGTCATAGTAGAGGGTATCCTACACATCACGTGTACCTTTGTTCATTAGTATTTATGAAATGGCCATGCTTAATTTGGCACACAAATACTTGTAATTTCTTTGTCTATATGCTAACCTCTTCGTTGAAGCCATTGACATAGGCAACTGTTCCACCCCCGCACATTGAGGGAGGCTGAGAATTGAGTCGGTACAACGATTTGTTCATCAAAAGGATGCCTGGTGTCCCTGGGCCACCAACAAATTTGTGCGGACTCAAGAAGACTGCATCATAACCATCAACTTCGCCAGACTTCATGTCTATCTTCACATAAGGGCCACTGCAAACATGGGTAATTGTTAAATTTAGGTATTCTTTTATAAATGTACAAGTGAAGAAATATAATTAATGCTAGCTACCAGGCTTAATAATCCTGACCATAGCTAGTGAATTTCAAGTATGAGGTTGAACAATTCTGATCACGGTTATATAATTCAAAATGAAGTGACCAGTAAGTTTAAGTTGAAAGTCTCCGTCAAGAAAAAAGAGAGTTGAAACTGTAGACAAATGAAGTACAAGATTGTAGAAATTTGGAAGAAATAAAACATTCAGATTAATTGTTTGTGCCCTGTCAAAGTCAAAAATAATTTCATTGTCGCAATGAACTACTTCACTAGACTTTTTTGGCCGATTAATTTCCTCAATCCTCCCCAAACATTAGAATATATGCCTCAAGTAGTTCATCTTGGTTCAACAAGCAAACAAAGATCCACAGAGTCTCAGTACTTTAGTTCATACCTTTTGCATATATAGACAATATATTCACATAAGTCAATCATCATGAGATCATATGCTTGAATGTTTGGATGAGATAGATATATTGCTGTCATATTTAATGCAAAGTATAGAAAAAAACTACTAGCTAGCTGTTTGGTACTGTCAGGCAAATTGAATGAAGACATTCTGTTGTTCATTAATTAGACCACACTGTTTACCTCCTAACCATGAAAACTACACGAAGGATATATTATATGTATTCATTTTGTAAAATGTTATTTATTTTCAGAAAAAAGAAGTTGATAATAACATATTTGTTGTATTTCACTTTTTGCTGGTATTTTCTTTTATTTTTCTTTGAAACAGGATGTGCTATATTAATTAAAATATTACATTATGATAGTATTTTCAGAGTTTCAGTGACTAGTTTAGTGATATATTTTCATATACATAACCGTTGCAGTTCTTTTGAGTATGTTATTTTTTTCCAACAACATAGCTAGATATGTACTTTGAACATACATATCAATGGCAGAATGTCTGATAGGGACGTCTTTAAAAAACAAATGTGATCGGTGATGTGCACAGGTTCTAGGACCACCTAAAAAACAATATCTCAGACGAATATATCATATTTACAAAAAGGAGAAGCCATTTTGCATAACATGGTGTCCTTTGGAATGGTAAAATTTCATTGGAAATTTTCCAGGAATCAAACCAATTGGCCTTAGAAAAATTTCGATAAAATTCCTGCGTTCCAAAGAATCCCTAGAAACCCTAGATCGATGTCAAAACATCAGGCTTGCCTAATGTGGACTTCTTAATCTGTCTATTAGGAGCACCTAATATGAGACCAGGCTACATGATGCATGCTACCATAGCCCATGGTTGCATGAAAGCGATTGTGTAAAGTTGTTAGAATAGTCCAAGCTAAACACTTAAATTAATTAGTACTAATTGTTAGTGATTAGTAATAATGGTTAATGCTTATCACGTAAGGTAATAGGGTGTGTCTCCTGTCTCGTGTCTCTCACCTGGCGGCGAAGTCGAAGCAGGCGAAGGCGCCGTGCTGGTGGAGGACGCGGGCGAGCTCGCGGGTGTCGACGGCGATGCCGGTGACGTTGCTGCACGCCGAGAAGGAGCCGAGCATGGGGCGGTCGGCGTAGCGCGGCGAGGCGAGCGCGCGGCGGAGCGCGGCGACGTCGACGAGGCCGTCGCCGTCGACGCCGACCTCGACGACCTCGGCGAGGCTCTGGCGCCACGACAGCAGGTTGGAGTGGTGCTCGTACGGCCCCACGAACACCACCCACCGCTCCTCCCGCCGGAGCCCCGCGGCGAGGCGCGCGCGCAGCGGCGCCGCCGACGGCGCGGCCACCCCGATCACCTCCTGCAGCCGCCTGATCGCCGCCGTCGTCCCGGCGCCGCAGAACAGCAGCGCGTCGCCGGCGCCGCCGCCCATGCACCGCTTCACGTACCTCGCCGCCTTGTGCACCAGCCTCGTCGACTTGCTCCCGACATGGCTGTCCTCCGTGTGCGTGTTCCCGTAGAAGGGAAGGACCTCGTTGAGGAGGTAGTCCTCGATGTAGCGGAGGCTCCGGCCGGACGCCGTGTGGTCGGCGTAGGTGAGGAGGCGGCGGCCGAACGGCGTGTCGAACTCGGCGTCCTTGCCGATGAGCTGCGACCGGAGCCACTCCACCCTCTGCTCCGCCGCCGCCGCCGCCGACCCCTTCTTCTCCGACGACATGGCGGCGCCGAGCAGGCTCATCATGCTGCTCACCGCCTCATCCACCGCCGCCGCTTCTTGCAGTTGCAGAGATGGCATTCTCCTTAACTAGCTATAGCCTAATTCTGTATCTAATTGTAATTAGCAACTGATTAATGGGATTAGCTTAATTAGAAGCTCAATGAAAGATCAATGGCAATGGAAGCTAAGCAAATCTCTCAATTTATCAATGGCGAGTAGTAGCTTCACTTAGGTTGAAGGCAACTAGGTAGGTTGCATGGGCAGTGGTATATATAGCGCCATTGATGTGGAATTAATTAAATCTAATGCAATTTTTAGAAAGAGAGAAGGGTCAGGAAGAAAAAAGAACAGGAAATGGGGAGGAAGAAGAGGGTAGCTGTTTGATTTAATTAATGCGCCGGGTCAACATGACACAATTGCTTCTTCGGCTCTCAAAATATATATCCCTCCTTTATTTGTGACCCATTTATTAATGGCCTTGAATATATTCCAACACCTTCTTGTTCCATCATATATACTCCATGCTAAGTACATACTCTCTTCATCTAAAAAAAATCAACCTCGTACTATGATGATATATTCTATTCAGATTCGGTACTACTAGGATAACGAGGCTTTTTTTTAAGATAGAGAGTATATATACTCCCTCCAGTTTCATATTTACTATCGTTCAAGCATTATGTGAGTTGGATGATAATATATGTTGTTTCAGAAAGATTAAAGAACATTTTTTTGGACAAGTTTACACCTTCTAGTTAATGCTGCTGTGGTTTCCAACGTGGGAGAAACACTCAGTTTAATATGGACGGGCAGAAAATAGACATCTTAATTAATTAATCAATTAATATTACTCATTGGCAAATGAGATTATGTCCAAAATTAATAACAGGAAACACGGAACTGGAGGGAGTATGCAAAACCTAATTAACCGGAGATCATTGCCTTTTCTTCGCGAGTCTTCGGATGCTGTTGATGCATTAAATTAAAAGCGTTGGGCTGTGGATTTTCCGGTTCAAAAACATCGATCTGGGACTTGTTCATACACACGACACGTATATATACAGTCGAACGCGTGCGAAATTAATTAATATTAAGAACCAGGGGTTTTCAATTCTGAATTCGATCAGAGTATCATTTAATTTCAATACGGGAAAAAAAAGAAGAAAATATATGCTGGCATGAAAATCACAAGGATCTCGTGTTGTGCTGTTTGTGTGCGTGTGTGTTCCTGCATTCATTCATTTTATTCCAAATTCAACTCCTCGTATCGTACGTAGCTAGGTCGGTCTCTTAAAATAGTCAGGGAATGTACGTGTGTATTAATTGTTTCTATGTTGACCTAAGCTCTCTTAATATCTTGTTAAGTATAGGACACAAAAATATATCTCAGGGCTTATCCGACAAAGATACAAAATCTAAGCCAACATGAACATAGAATTAACAAATAACACATGTAAGAAATAAATAATTGTGAGCAATAAATAATTACGACTACTGCTTAAATTTAAGATTACCGTTTTCTCCTCTATATATAATCAGGTGCGACCTAACCTAGAGGCAAGGTATGGACCGGCCTATGATAAAATTTTCACCATCTCGAGCCACTATGATGAAAAGAAGTCCTGGCCTATAGGCTTTCAACCCCATGCCCTAGGCTAACGCCTGGGGTGTCTGGATTCTTGGTTTGTCCTTGTATAGATTATTATTGGGTATTTACTTCCTTTATCTAAAAGAAAAATTAAAATAGTTTTATAGTAACTCAAATAAATATGAGAACGACTGATCGAGTGAATACAATTAATTCACTCAATTGGATCAAAATCACGATGTAGATATCCTAAAATAACTATAATGACTTAGTAAACTGCAGCATGGGCCACTCAACTTGCCAAGGTTGGTTTAAAGGTGTCACCAATCTTCCAAGCTAGCATATATAGTATTAGATATTGGTCAACACACTCATATATATTATTAGATAATTACAATATGCCTTATAATGCAATGAGGACGAGCATGGGTTACTGCAGAGAGAGATGATCGATGTTTCTTCTTGGCTTGTTCCATGCATGGCAACATGCAGACATGGGTCATGGGGGTACACAAGTGTCACACGATGATATCCCAATTAGTGACCATGCATGTCTACTGTATTGTTGTTAACGTTGTGAAAGCCAGTATTTAAATTTAGCCCTTAAAGGTGTTATATGGTGAGTGAAAATTGTTACATAGATATAGTAGTGGGAGTATGTTGTTTGAGCCATATATACTTGGCCCATGGCCTAATATAAGCTACCTGAGGCCTAGCTAGCTTGGCCACTGATTATTAGATGTTTGAAACACACCATTGTGGTATATAGTATAAAATGTAGAATAAATTTCACAAAACAACGTATACTTTAACCAAACTATAAAACAATATAGATTTAAGTCGATATATCACAAAACTACAGAGATTTAACAAATTTATCACATAACTTCATATTTAATTAAGAAAAAGTATCATAGAACTATAGATTTAATAACAAAATTATTACAAAACTACAAGTTAGCACCAATTTAATAGCAAAACTGTAGCATTTATAACTTGAAGACAACATTAGTGCTAAAGATTTAAACACTAAAAACTTTAGTTTTATGACAACATCAATATTAAATATGTAGTTTTATCATACTTGGTATTAAATCTATAGTTTTGTGAAAAAAATTAATGCTAAATCTACAAATTTGCGATACAATAAAAGTATATTTAGTTTTGTAAGATATACCCAAAAATTACATGCTATTGTCCTTATTTATAATAATAAGGTTGGCATTCAAATGAAATAGAGTGTCCCACTTAAAGAAAGTTTAGTCAGATAATTATACTGTTACGGTGTTTGATGACTTGCTTCAAGTCTTCAACTGGCATATATGCGAAAGCTCTTATATATGCAATTCATTCTTGAAGCCCATACTCCATGTAGCACCAGTTAATTTATCTATATATACTCATATGGGACTTCATGGTGCCCGGGCTCCGAGGTATAAAACACACAAATTCTCTCCAATTTTTAAAAATTTACAAATTGTAAGTAGATATCTAGGTATATGAATTTGATTCATACAAATACCTAACAACAAAACAACTCAAACTCAACTTTATTTTACAATTCATTATTACATATCTAACGAATTATATGTTTGGATGTTATATACCTTGAACCAAAAACTAACAAAAAAAAAGTTCAAACTCAGTTCAAACTTGTTTGAACTTGTTAGTAAAGAAATTAATGTTCATATCTAAACATGTAAAAAAAATTCATACTCATTCAAATTGGGTATATACTTAATTTGAATCTTGAAGCCCATACTCCATGTAGCACAAGTTAATTTACCTATATATATATATATATATATATATATATATATATATATATATATATATATATGTCTATTTATTTTTTCCCATGAGTTGCATATACACATGCAGTCAAAATATGATCAGTTTAAAAAAGCACATGTTCTTATTTTTTAAGCTTTTTTTTATCAAATAGTTATCATATATTATTTCATTTGCCCAACAATAAGATAATCAAGATATGTTTCTTTATATAAGTGAGATCGGCATTTCTTCTTCTAAGTTGGATTATATTACCTACGTAAAAAATGAGTTTTTAATGATATATTTAATTTTGACATACATATATTTTAGAAATAAACCTTTGGCATAACTTATTTCTAAAGGCCTCTTTTTTGTCACACCATGACAAAAACAACAACAATAATAGAGTATATACATCATGTTTTGAAAATGATTCTTTAATTGTGCCTCTTCATTTATATTTTACTGCTGTGGCAAAAACAATATATGTAGTCACTCCACTGCCAGAACAAATTTGTTGGTGGCCTGGTGCCAATAATACTAACATTTTAAAATTTTATAAATATCTACATTAAATATACTGCAGATCATAAGCAGTAGAGGGAGGTCGAAGACCCCTCCTGGCCTATCTCCAGTTCTCCACAAGTCGAATGGGGAGAAAAACAACGACCATTCTAACAAATTGTTGTGGAAGCCGCCAGTAAGTCATTACCAGAAAAACTATTTTTACATGCGGCCAAAATGCATTTTCGCAGATGGCCAAATACTCCGCCCGTAACAAAAGGCCTACGAAAATAAACACGGTCATAAGTCCGCCTGCAAAAGTTAATTTTCACAGGTAGACCCATTAAGAGGAGAACCTGCAAAAATAATTATGTGTCAAAAAAAAAAGGAAAACCAATCTATTATTCACAGCATGCAAATTCACATTGAAACACATATCCGTGGTGGAAGTTCTCAAAAACAAATGTGGAAGTTCACGTTCAAAATCATATTCAAATCCACATCTGTATTTTTCACAGCAATTTGGAAGTTTTTTTTTAAAAAAAGAAACATCAGTTGGACGCCGTGGTGGTGGTCATTGTCGCAGGGAGGATGCCGCCATCTTCGCCGAGGATCTGATCCGGAAGCCGACTTTCTCCACCATGACGACGAGGAAGACGACCACGAGCAGCGCGAGGAGGGTACATTGTCACCTTGCCCTCGTCAGATCCATCGCCCATGCGCGTTGCTGTCGTCAGATCCGCCACCCGGCACATCGTCGTCTCCGGATCCCACCACCGAACTCCGCCGAACCACCATGGAGCGCCACTGCTACTCCCTTCCTCCTCACCACCACCACCCTCGTCACCTCCCCTGTAGACCCCGCCGCCGAACTGAGGAGAGGGAGCTGGGACTTAAAAGAAATATCTGAATGTTTCAATTTTCTTTAGCGTCTATGTAAATGCTAATGCCAATTTTCGCAGACGGATGGCTTAAGAAGTTCACTAAAAAATAAAGGTATTTTTATAGGCGTGCCTCTAAAGCTGTGCCCGCGAAAATAGATTTTCCCAGACGGCCGGTCATTAGACCTCTCTCTACACAACTACACATGCGGACAATCATAGTAAAAAATAAGGTCCGCGTGGAAAAATTATGTGTTCCGTTGTAGAGAGATTTTTTTTACATATATTTTGTTAATTCTTGTGGCAACCATAGGAGCCTCCTTGTAGGTGAAATTAGTTAATTAGTTGCTGGAGAGTTATTTATTACTAGTAAAAATAGAGAATGGACCAAATCAAATAGTATTAGATTTCCAAAAGGACACAACTTGTACTAGCAGTAGAAGGTCAGATAAATACGCTAGCTAAACGGTCAAAATGGATAGACAATTAAAGCAGTAAAATTTGAGACTAGTTCTATATTCATGCATGCATGCATTTCGTCCAGTCAGATTAGGGTGCACTAGTTCTATATTCATGCATGCTTTACACCCAGTCTGTC